ATTATTATTGTTATGTGATAAATAAAATTTAATATTATCCTAAGAGCAGCGTCAGAAACACGTTCCAGAGCAGTGATGTACATGATCAAAAACTAATCTGATAAATGTATAAAATTATAGTAATTTTTTTCCGTTATAAATTATAGTTTATGTTTGCATTCTCGTTTTGAGAAATTATGCGTTAACGATTACTGATTAATATCCGATTTTCAATGCTTTTGTTGTATGATTATATTGTTTCCAGTAATGGTGTAACCAAGAATTTTCAATTAGTTAGGGTTCAAGACTAACACATAAATGTTCTTGTTTTTTTGTTTTTTTTATTAATTTCATATAGTTATTTTTAAGAAATTTGTATTGTTTTAAACGTTTTAGATACCTTTTAAAATTATAATTAATGTGTAAATAATGTGTAAATAAATATAAATGTGTATAATTTACTACTCGTATCACCAAATAATTCACATCAGTTGTATCCTAGAGAACACTATAGTGAACTAGCATGAATTTTTCAAGAAAATGATCGAATTTTTTTTTTTTTAATTTTACATATTATAAAGTTTATATTTATTCATAATATTGAAAGAAAAAAAAATTTTCTTTAAAAAAATGTGAATGGGTCAGAAAAGGTTAAAAAACACAAAATATATTTTGCTTCTGCAACTTTTTGTGGTACACAACAGACAGCAAGTAATAGCCACAATACAGAAACAATCGTATCTATAACGTTTTTAACCTTACTTCACTAAAGCTGAAAAAAAATAATGGTGAGAGGGAGTTACAACATCCAAACCCCTTCTGGCTACATCATTGGTTTCAAATAGCAACACAACAGTGTGAAATATCATTAGCTAATTGAGTTATAAATTCATTAGGTTGATTGGATATCAAACATAAAAAATAATTTGTTCGTTCACTCATAGAAATTCACTGACATATATTATATGTATATTATATACAGTATAATATATTAATATATATATATATAAATTGATTTTTTTTTTCAAAAACCAATTTCAACTCCAGTAGAATAAAAATACCTTTTACAATATATTATATTCTAAAGTACTAGTTATATAGCATTTTACCACAAATCTATAAGTCTACTTTTTCAAAGTTTTCAAAGTCTGTTTCAGGCTCGCTTCAAGTATTTAAACAAACATAGACGAAATTTAGTTTTTGCCGCCCCTTATGTGTAAATATTTTATCAAATAATTTTTTTTATTCATAAAAATTGTCCATGAAAAATGCCGCCCTAGGCGTGGGCCTATGTTGCCTACCCCTTAAGCCAGGCCTGGTCTGTTTATAACAAATATGCTTAAATTTTCTAATAAATCTATAATTGATTATTCGATTTTAAATTTCAACAAATAATTATTTTTAAAAGATTAATACTGACCTGCGTAAGAGTGACATGGCTATGACAGAATAGGTTTTGAAGGCAAAAATGGCCTACTGGATCATCACGGTTTATATTTTAACATGCGATTTTATACCTATATACCGATTTAAGGTATCCACATTGAACATCTAAGGAGAGATAATGGTTAATGATTTGTAATTAATGCACTGTTTCAAGATAAAATGCGATTAATAAATTACTGTTGTTTTTTTTTTTTATGGATTTCAAAACTTATTTTTCTAATACAAATTTAATGTACTTACTCAGTTTACTGCCCTTCAAAACCGGCAATATCCTATCAAAATATTGAATAATTTTTGAGTTCTCCCGGTCAATTTTTTTCAATCGGTGGAGATTTCAATACAAAGCATCCTCAATGGAGTTGCCTAGTCCAAAACACTTTAATACCCAGACAAATTTATTATTCTATTACAAACTTAGATGACCCAACATGCGATCATAGCCCAATTATTATCCAAATAAATAGTCAAGCTACTAAAAATCCTCCTCGTCCTTCATTAGAAAAAGGACCTGTCAACTGAAACCATTTTTCCATACGTCTAGTAAACCTCACCTATTTAAAAATTTCACTATAAACAAGGATCAAATAGAAGAGGTAGTCCAAAATTTAACAACTTCAATACAGACCACAACTTTCATCGCATGCCATAAATATACCTAATAACTCAATAAACAATAACCTTCTTCCTCCCAATATTCGAGAATTCACTATAAAAAAGCGTAGGGCTCGCTCACGTTAGCAACATTACAACTTCCTATCCGATAAATAAATATTCAATAATTTATCTAACTTAATTAAAAAACAAATACAAAAATATGAATCAGAATATTTTCAAGAAAAATTCCAATATCTTTAATCAAAGACGGTTCCCTGTAGAAAACCACAAAAATTAAAAGAATTTAAAATTAAAGAATTAATTCCTCCCATAAATGGTCCAAATGATGTACTATATGGTATCAAGCAATGAGATGGATAATATTTTTGGAAACCGCTTCTCAAAAATATACACCCCTCACCTAAATATAAACTAGAACTTGAACATCTAAACACGTTAAATAACTTTTTAATAGTCCACTACCCATAAACTATCCAGCAAAGCATACCTCGCCGTATGAAGTTAAACAAATAATTAATGAACTAAAAATAAGAAAGTCTTCTGGATACGATCTAGTTTTCAACAAAATACTCAAACTCTTACCATACAAAACAATAATACTCTTCACATGCAAATACAACTCCATGTTAAGATTTTCCTATTTCCCTTTGACATGGAAGTTCTCCATAGTAATCCTCATTTATAAACCTCAAAAAAATAAACATTTAACATCTTCTTGCTGACCAATCAGTTTTTTCCTATTTTAGGAAAAATATTTGAAAAATTATATTTATAAGAATAAGACCAATAATAATATCCCAGAATATAATACTCCACTTACAATTCGACTTCAGGAATAATAACTCAACAATACACCAAATTCACCAACCCACCGATAAAATGTCAACCTCTTTTGAAAATAAAAAATATTGCCCTGAAGTTTTTTTAGATGTTGCTCAGACGTTTAACCACATATGGCACAATGGCCTACTTCACAAATTAAAACAATTCCTTCCAGTACTATACTACTTGATAATCCATTCTTATCTTTTCAACCGAACTTTTTCAGTTAGACAAGGCAGTTCAACTTCTCCATGTTTTTCAATAATTGCTGGAGTTTCCAAGGAAGTGTTCTCTTCCCTAATCTGTGTAATATATTTACATCTAATATTCTAAAAACAGCTAACACAATTATCGCAACCTATACTGATGATACAGCTATATTACTTCTGATATAGATCCTACTGTAACTTCATCTGTTCTTTTAAACCATCTTGATTTAATAAATTTAATTTAATTAAATCTAGATTTAATTAGTTATTGAAAAACTAAACAAATAATATTATAATAAATTCCACAAAAAATTACAGCTAAATCAAAATCCTCTTATTTGCCATTTATCCTCACATTACCTGACAATTCCATCTATCATCTCAAAAGGCGCTGGTATCGGGATCTTTTAAGCTAAATAAAACAATTTATAAATTATGTTAAATTTGTTAATTGATTAATTCTGAAAGATTCTATCATTGGATAGTCTCCTTAATAATTTCATTCTGTCATTTATATACATAAATTGTTTATTGTACATATTATCACACATACTTATTGTGTTTGTTAATACAAATTGTAAATTTGCTAATAAAAAAAAAGATAAAAAAAGTTACTTACTAAAGTGTTAAGTGATTTTTATAATTAATTTTATTTCTAGCCGGAAAAAACTTATGTTTAAAAGGTTATACATGTATAATATAGGTTAATTAAATTCATTTTTATTAAAATATTAGTTTTGTTTGAAATAAGACTTAAAAATAATTTCTATAATATCTAACTATAATATATACATAATAACTATAGTCATAGGTGGATATCGGGGGGGGCTTGGGAAGCTTGGAAGCTTAGACCCCCCAAAAATTTAAATAGCCCCCCTAAAATCGAAACTTTGTTAGAAATTTTATTCGTTGTTTTTATAGTTTATTTATAATATTATAATTATCTGTTCATTTTTTTTGAAAATCGTAAAATAAGAAATAATAAAAAACTATTTACAATAGCATTAACAATACCAATTACATAGTTTGGCTACTTGCGAAAGAAGTTTCTGTGCAATGAAAAAAAAACTTGGTTAAGGATATTGTTGGTTCAAGATAGGTTCAGCAATCTTTCAATACTATATATTTAAAAAGATATATCGAAAAATATAAAAAGCAAAGATATTTTGAGTATCTTTGCTAATACAAATAGTTATTTTTCATAAAAATAAAATATTAATTATTTTTAAATATACGTTATTTAGTGTTTTTTTAATACAATTTAAACATATCTATATTTTTAATGGTAATAAGTTTTACTTGTGTATTGGAAGGGGGTGTGGGGGCGAAGCCCATGCGAGTTATTTTACATTGAATTATTATAGCCCTCCAAAAATTCAATCAAATGTCCGCCTATGACTATAGTATCTATAAATAATAACCTAATTATAATTAATAATTGAAAACCAGTTCGAAAATAATTCATATACATGTATTAACAACTACCTAATATTTTTAAATTTTAAGTCTCTATAATTACTGTTAATTAAATGTAATCAATTTCATTCAAAGCAATTTTTATTATTCTTTTTATTAATTAATTTGTTAATGTTTTATATTTATTTATTTATTGTTTATTGTAATAATTGTCTTAAGTGAACTTTTGTGATTTTAATTGAAAGATTAAAATTTCGATCACCCGTTTTTGTATTCAGTACAATAAAGTCACAATAACTCGAATCGAGGAAGCCAAATACACAAGTTATCAAAATAAGTAAAGACACATTTTGAAATGGCCTAAAATACAGTTTGAGTTATCATCACTAGATTGTTCTTCAAATCACAAAAATAAAAAATAAATAAAAACGAAAATTAAGATTTCCTCGTCTGTTGTTTGTTGATAATTTAATTATAACCTGCTTATTAATTATTTTTTCTATATTTTATTAGATCCTTGTCTTGTGCATTACTGCGGCCGAGGTGAAGAGTGCGTGGCACTAGGTGGTGTTGCTCGTTGCATATGTGTAAGGAAATGCGGTCAAGTTAAACGCCGAGTGTGCGGCACGAACGGACAGTTGTACGACAATAGATGTGAACTGCACAAAGCCGGCTGTTTAAACGGTGTCAACATAGAGATAGACCATTCCTTAAAATGTTTCATACCTTCAGGTTAGTTCAAGATCAAAAGTAAATATTGAATGGAAGTCATTTATTTCAATTGCATGTACACATAGTCACTGCAGCTACATAAATATAAACTCATCCCATCCCTGGTCTTATATAGAAAAGTATACTAGAAAAAATATTTGGTTCTTATCGATTATTCTCACTCCAGTGCTCACCTAAGTCAGGATTTTTGAGTTCATATTGTATTTACCTTTATTACTTTGCTATAGTATAGTATTACATATCAAATAGATTAATTTATTAAATTTTAAATTTCAAGTGGGTATTTAAAAAAAATTACTATAATTAAATATAAATAATAATTAAAAATCCCTATTTTATAATTTCTTGTTAGCCTAAAGCATTTTTTTTTTATCCTAAGTCAGAAACATCATCATAAACATCTTGTCAAAATCATCTGCATCCTAATTTGATTTCTGTGAATAAGTTAAAAATGCAAGTATTGTTATTCCGATTCACAAAGAAACTCTTTGCTTGCCATTTAAATATATAAACGACTTATGATTCCCAAAATCATGTTCATAAAGTAACTAATTTATGCTCCAAATTTTAATCAGGAATTTTTTAATTTCTAAAATTAAAAATTACCGGAAAATCTAATTTTTATTTTTTTTTATTAGATTATATTTTACTTTCCTCTATACTTGAAAACAAAAAACATTAAATGTCAATACAATATCATGTATTATTAAAATGTATATTGAAAACTATCCAAGACCAAATTAGATGGAACAAAAAAAAAAAAATTTCTGTTTTATAAACCGATGATAAATGAGTTTTCCATTTACCTTTTTTCAGCTGATATTTTCATCCAATAAGTTTTCTACTGATCTCTGCACACGTTTTTTCGGAAACTTTTGCTATGTCAACTAACAAAATATAATGTTTTAAATTTTTAGCATCAAAGGCCAAGGACGTCCGATTACTACCGAAAACCGAAGACAATACCGTAGAGTTCGAAACTAAATCAAAAGGAAAAAAGTCTTGTGGCTCTCCACAATATGAAATCATGAAGGTATATAATATATTTGATATTCGTCAATGAATATTACTATTTAATTTTAATTCAAACGATTTTAAATAAAAGAGGTGTTAACAAATATTGCAAACATCATAAACAAATAATTAATATGCGGACCCTGATATTTCGGCGTAGCCATCTTAGCTTGGCCATTTCGATGTGACCATCTTGGATTGAACTCATTTTATTTTATTGTTGTAAACATATCGTATAAATCGTGCTGTATATTATATTTTCATTGCAGTAAAATATAAAGATAAACTTCGATATTCTTACAATCGTGTCAATTGTTACAACATTAAAGATGAAATCATCAACAATCTATAATGAATAAAATAAAAAGTATAAGTGATCCCAAAATATTTTCTTATGATATGATTTTAATAATAATTGATTATAAAAATTATGATACGATAATTTTTTTAAGGGGTGTAGCCCATAATATAAGTTATAAATAATAATATTATATTTTTTCTTTGCAATCTTGTGAGTATTGCATGTATAATATTTTAAACTATAAATAAAATTAAATAAAAATAAATGTCAAAAATATGTATAAATTTATAGTTTATTTTAAGGATCGAGATATTTTTATACACCGAAACAGTTCGCGTTTAAATGGTGTCAAGCCGAAATATCTTAGACGACCTATTAAAATGGTATTTTTTGTAATTTAGATAGTACCTCTCATCAATAATAATTTTATTTTTATTTGTATTTCATATACATTTTAACTATCTTTTAAAAATGCTTATAAATAATTAAATTTTACCTGTTGATTCCATACCAGATAAGATTAAAAATTGGTTTAAAATGGATTTTTTTCGATAACTTTTTTTGTGTATCCCACGTTGTAAAATACTCAATATATTTGGCCCAGTTGATATTTTAATTTTGACATGCCTAGTCTAGAGCAAATATTGGCTGGCGCTGTTGTTGTGTAAACTGTGAACTATTTTGGCAATCGTCCTGGTTCACCTTGCGTTCAATATATTATAACAACATAATTCGATTATATAAAATGGATTTGTCATCGAAATAGATAGCAAAGCATGTTCGCTTTCCCATCGTATACGAGATAATTTGTGACTGAGGACCGTTTACATGGATGTTTTCATACGATAGACCATTGTTCTCAATGCTGTCATTCTATATAAATAATTACATACCTCGATACATATTTCTTATCGAAATTTCAATAATTTTGAAAATGTATCTCCCTTTAGCGATCAAAAGAAACTATAATAGATATAATTCTACTTAATGACAATATCAATTCTTTGTAAATAAATAGGTATGATATGCATCATTGGTTATAACAATCTTAAATTTGTTTAACTCTTAAATTAAAAAAAAATAAATGAATAAATACTACAAGTTATACAGTAGGTATACATTTCATATTATAATGTCCAAAAGGCCTAAATATATTCTCTTAAAATCTCAAAATTTAAACTCATGTAAAATTGATTGATTACGTTTAATGTATTACTGATTAACATTTTTTCGTATTAATAAAAAAAGATAAAAATCTAATATTATAATTTGAATAGTATAAAGCAATATTTTCCAATGTTTTTGGAAAGACAACCACAATTCACTGCTTGTTGAATACCCGATCTCATCAACTCAAAAAATATACAATATATATTTATGTATGTGATAATAAAGTATTATTAATAATCATTGTACTGAACTACCTGATGGAACTGATCGCTAGTTGCGACCCATAGAAATTATTTCGCGGCCCATAGGTTGGGTAACACTCGTATAAAGCATATAAAAATGCAACTGGGTATAATTCCTATTTCTAGTTATAATAAAAAGTCTGTGTTTCTATTTCTTTCAATATAAAGATATAAAAAAAATTTTCAATAGAAAAATTACCTATAGCATTGAGACTATATTGTACTTTCAGATTTATTTTTTCTGGACGCTAGTGGTTTTTAAGTAATATTGTTTACCGTACATATTTATAATCAATAGTAATATTAAACAAATAAAACACACATTTTAGTCATCTAAGATATCGACTTTTTTTTTCATAGCTATGTTTTCATTTACGGTATTTGTGAGCTCTGACCAATGGATTTTGCATTGTAATATTTACTTTTAATTTAAAATTGTATATTATGATTATAATAATATATAAAATAGAGGAAATTATTTTAATTATATATTTCAAAACTTGATAATTTGCAAGAAAATCCAATAGTCCCTTGTTTTGAAATGAGTCTATATAGTGCGTTCAGAATAATTTAAAATATAAAACGCAATTTTCTGAAATGTTGCTTTCAAAATAAAGTTTCCATGCTGCCTCTTTTTAAATATATACCACTGAATTAGGTATATTTTTTGGTGTAATTCTTCTTATAATTTTTTTTATATTTTTTCCCAAATTACTAATATAAAGTATTTAATAAAATAAAGCATTTTTAATGTATTTTAAAAACTTGGAAAAAAGCAATTATTTCCGTAAGAATAAATGCATTATTATTACTTTTCCTTTTTCGAAAAATTACTATCCATATTTTATAAATATTAAAACTTCCATTTAATAATTATAATACATATAATAACACACTAACATTACTGTTAACGATAAGTGTTTTATAAACATCGTATACGTTCATTATAGAAAATTGTATACCCCTTTGTATATATATATTTCCGTGTGAAAAATATTTTTAATTTACTCGAGAAACGAGGGAAAATGCTAAAGTTTAAAAAATCCATAATGTAAGTGCCGAATAATAATAAGCAATATATAAAATCATAAAATATCACATCCATCACCACATTTTGATTCGTTATTCGCCACCATCGATCCCACCGCCATGTATAATACTTGTATGTAAGTTTTATTGAGTTTTTTTTCATTTACTTTATTATTGTCATAAATATTTATGTTACAACCTATAACCGTTATAAAATAATAACAACGGTGAACGATGTAGCATACAATGTATATACATATTTTTATATGTGTGTAGATAGTGATTATTAATATAAAATATGAATGTCAGGTTTGATGGCATTCAAGTGAACCACGCAATAGTATATATATACTTTACGGACTTTCAATAAGTTAAGTGTATACGTATATATCACGAACGTTAAAATCGTAAGATATGCTGTGACAATAGACAATTTGAATCCAGCGTCTACTCTCTAAAATTTGTTATATTTTTCAACTTTCCACATCGGTAGCAGCAATGATTAATAATTGGAAGTATATGATTTGCCGGTAACTGAATATTGGTTTGTTTAGAACCGATGAATTTTGGTCAGTCATTTTTTAAATAAAAAAAAACCATAAAACACTTACTTGGTGGACCACCTCCACTGAATCGACTAATTTATCTATTTAATAGGGTAATAAAATTAAAAATTCTAGGGTATAAAAATAAATAAATAACAGGCAGAGAAATTTACATTTAACCTTAAAATGTAGTTAAATTGACCGATATCACTAAAAATAATATACCATATGTAAGTTTATGATTGGGGAGAAACAATATATTGTCATATTGGACCTTAATTAGATAAATGTAATATCGTACTAGACTCAAACGGACCACTGTAACGTCACAGCTAGAAACCGCCCTTGATGATATTACGTTATCCTCATTTTTTTCTAACACTCGCCAGGTGAGTTGTTTTTTGACGTGAAACGCATAAAATGGTAATAAATGTTTCTTGTTCAATTAAAAGAGGGTGCGCAGCCACAGGAATTAATGCCTACGGTCAGGATTTATCGTACTTCTGGGAACGTGCGCGTATCCCTCTTCGGTCGTATATAAATTATGTTTACAAAAAGCTTTTTCCACCTCGCTCAGCTTTTGAGCCTGTCTTACGAGTTGGAGAGGCGGAGAATCGTAAGAAATCTTATGATAATAAGAACCATCAAAATGAAAACTACAATAATAAAGGTGGGGATTTTTTCTTTTGTTGTTGGCTCACCTCAACAATAATTACAATTTATTCGTAAAACGATACATACAAAATTATAATTATGTTTTGAACCACGCGAAAACGTCATTGTGGTTTTCCAGGACAATTTGTTGCTGATTAATCATGCCAAACTTATGTACCAAAAGAGTTGGAACGGCGGTAAGGAATACATGGTCAGCGCGTTGTTTCGTTACTTGGATCTAGATGGCGACGGATTCTTACAACAGGAGGAATTGGAAAAAGTATACCATTTATAATTGCTTTCTTATATTTAGTCAAAATTGTTCAAACGTTGTTTCTGTTATTTTATTTGTGTAAAAAAAAAAAAAAAAACATTTCGATACCTTAACAGTTTTGAAATTATTTTTAATGCTTTATACTCATATCATGTTTTTCGCCGATGCTGTAAAGATTTTAAATTTCTATTTGAAAGTGTGGTTATAGTTTTTTTCATACAAATGATTCGGTGCTACCGAGCAAATTGTTTACATTATTAATAAAAGTAAAAACATTTATATGCATAGATACCATACATTATAATACGTACCAGCTTAGATTTAAAATATCGATTATTACGGTCGGTACCTATATATACACGTGTAAGAAATAACTACTTTGAAAAATTCAGAATACAAATTTCTTAGAATATAAGCTATTTTCTTTGAAGTTGTATTTTCTGCTCTCGTTTTACATTATAATATAGAATATATGGACAGAAAGTTTTTTTTTTCCAATAGTAATATTATAAACCAGCTATACTTATATTTTACGACAGGAAGGTTATTATTTATTTTTAACCTTGTTTTGTTACATGCATAATACATTATTTTGTTTAATTAAGAAACAAACAGAAACATTCATTCGTCATATATTTTAGCATAAAAGAACTGTAATTTAAAACGTTTAACTGTAATAACCATAAAATATATCGTACTTAGTGTATAGTTATTTATAGGTACCTGTTTTATTGCAAAAAGAGAAACTTTTTAGTCCAAGTAGCAAGAGTATGAATTAAGTTTCAAATTTTACACAAACAGGGTGCAATAGTATAAATCTTAAAATATGTTCTAAAATACATTATTATAACATTTCTAGATAACTAAACAAGATAAACTCAACGATGTATCAAACGTTTGCGTTATGTCCGACATGATTCGCTTTGAAGACATGGACAAAGATGGCCGCTTGGGATTGAACGAATTTTACGCAGCTTTTAGTAAATTGTACAGTGAGTATCTATTTATTTACTATATATTAAGGTGAATGACGAAATTTGACGAATGTTGACATTCACTGCTGTTTTTGGTGAATGTCAATATTTTGAATGAATATTAAAAATTTACCAACAGCCACTGGTGAATATTAGACATTTTTAATTAAATTTGGAATATAGACGTTCAACAATTGGTGTTTGGTGTATCGTAACATACGTAAAGATTGAGAATGTTTATATATAAGGTATTGTTCACATAATAGCTGAAGGGCAAATTATGTTTGAGTAAAAACGTATAATAATTGTATAGTGTATTATTTAATCGAACGGTGTTTAATGATCCATATAATATTATCAGAAATAATATTAGGGGTACTTAAGATGCAATTGTAAAGCAAAGTGTGTATTGCAGAAATGTATTTGTAGATCCTCAGGACTTATATGTAACTCAAAATGTCATAATATTTATTTATTTATTTATTTATTTATTAATTTACGGAATTAATGTTCCTTATTTAGTACAGTACACAATAATAATTCGGTAAAATAAGATAGCTAACATATACAAGGGGCAATGGCCTAAAATACAGCAGAATTACAGGTACAGTAAATATAAAATAAAATAATTAGGACACAAGTAAAATTACATACAATAAATGTACAAAAATAACACAATTTAAGGTAAACTGAGAAAGGAGGGGTCCTCGTTAGCCAACCGCATCATGCGGTCAATTGGTTTGTTTTTACCGTAATTGGTACAGTGGAGAGGTACAGTAAAAGGAACTCGAGACCTTGTGGCCCGATGTGGAACTTTAAAGTTTACTTGGACGAGCAGTGAAGGGGCATTTAATGAACCATCGATTAACTTTTTTAAAAAGATCAGATTAGCTTTAACGCGCCTATCTGCTAAAGATGTAAGGCTAAGTGCGCGCAATACTGGAGTATAGTCATGAGGAGGATGGACAATTTTTAGCATGTAAGCTGCAGACGACAGAAAGCGCCTTTGTACTCGCTCTAAGTGGCAAAAATCAATTACCACAAATGGGTCCCAGAGCACAGACGCATACTCTAGCATGCTTCGGACTAAAGAGCAGTAGACAGTCTTGAGAGATCCAGACAGCTTGAACTCATTCATGGTGCGCATTACGAAGCCAAGCGATTTGAGGGCTTGGCAGCAGATGGAGTCAATGTGAGGGCGGAAGTTCAGGTCGGCAGTGAAAAGAACGCCCAAGTCGCTATTGCTTGTAACTCTATCAATCACTGAACCATTGATAGTGTAAGAATAATCGATTGCCAACCGGCGCCTGGTGAAGGACATAGCTTTGCATTTATTAGTATTAAATTGGAAGCCAAGAGTGCTAAACCATAAGCTAATGGAATCTAACTCATTCTGAAGAGCGAGACAGTCAGCTTCAGATTCGATTTTTCGGAAAAGTTTCAGGTCGTCCGCGAACATAAGGAATCTACAATTAGGAACAGCCTTCGTAATTCCATTTATAAATAACGAAAAAAGCAGGGGAGACAAGTGACCACCTTGGGGAACACCAGATGGAACAGGAACGACAGCAGATTTTGATCCAAGCACTTTAACCCACTGGACACGATCGGACAGGTATGATTTAAACCAGGACAAAATAGGTTCGCCAAAACCGGACTTATAGAGGATGTCAATTAGGATAGCGTGGTCGACACGGTCAAATGCTTTCACAAAATCAGTGAAAATCACGTCTACCTGGGAGCGATTTTCAAATGCCTCAAGGACAAAATTATTAAACACAATTAGGTTCGAAGTGGAAGAACGTCCAGGTCGGAAACCATATTGTTCGTCGACTAGTACAGAGTCAACCGAGGGCTGAATGGATTGCAGTACTAGGTGTTCGAAAAGCTTGGCAATATGACTTAGAATCGAGATGGGTCGATAATTCGTGACGTTAGATTTGTCACCAGATTTAAACACAGGGGTGACTGAGCTGATTTTAAGCATTGATGGAAAAATTCCATCATCCATTGAACGCCTGAAGAGTAACCATAAAGGAAAACAGAGGACAGATCTGATGTTATACAAAAAGGTCCCAGATAGACCATCAGGGCCAACGGAGTGTACATTTTTTAGTGCAGCTAACCCGTTCTCGACATCTTCGATACCAAAGATGCAGTCAGAAGATAAAGTATGATACGCAAATGGAATAACAGGTAGGCTACTTGCTGAGGAAGGCACATATACTGAGTTAAAGTAAGATGAGAAAAGACTGAAGATGGATTCAGGACCAGTGGCACTTAGATCATTGAGGTGGACAGAGTTGGGAATACCATTGTTAGATCTACGCTTACGTACAAAGTCCCAGAATAAACGAGGATTAACATTAAGCATGTTTTCAGTGTTATCCAAAAATGTTTTATAGCATTTTTTATAATAATACTTATACTGAGCGCGCAGGTTAGAGAACTTATTGTAGTCAACAGGATTACGTGATGCTTTGTATTTAGCGTGCATTTCTTTCTTGGCAAAAACAATGTTCTTTAGATTTTTAGAGAACCAAGATGGAAATTTAGAAGGTTTGAAAACAATTAAGGGTACAAAACTTGTAACACAGTAATGTAATGCATCGTACAATGCACACGTAGCAGAATCAATATCGGTTGTTGTTAAGGTTTCTAACCAGTTAAACGATGATAAGAAGACACTAATACGAGGATAACAGGCTTTACGAAAATTAAAATATAATCTTAATATATATCATAATATATCATCTTGTTGCAACAAATATTTTATAATATAAAATAAAATAATTTATGGTAAATATATATATTAACCCATTAAGTGCCGAATTAATTTGTAAAAATTATTTCATCATTATTTATCTTTTTTTTAAAAATGCAAACATTCACCAGTGAATGTCTACATCTAAGAAGAAATTTACATTCACCGAATTTCGTCATTCACCTACATATATATTAGTGATAGGTCAAACGGTTCGGTTCGAAATTCGAACTCGGCATGAAAAAAAATCGAACCGAACTATCAAGCATCTTTTACTGTTCGAAAATAGAACTTGAAAATATTTGTCGAACCAGACTTACGAGCCACGATAGTTCGAAAACCATATATTTTTATAATTCTTCATAAGTTATTTTTGAAAAATAAAAATTGATAATGATTCTTTAGAAATAATTAGGCTATTGGCGATAGAAAGTGATATCTGTAAAGGGCACGTTATGTATTATTTATAATAATAATGTTATTTTTCCAGTCGCATGTTACACATCCACCCTTCGCCGATGAAAACATTAATAAGTTCTTTATTGCCAATAGAGGCAGTGTATCTACATTTATGAAATAGCTATTTTTATTTTTATCATATTTATTGTAGAGGTTAAAATCTATTTTGGGTAAATCCATGGTAATATTCCGATAGCGCGACTATGCTGTTAATAAAAACATGTTTACAACTTACGTCTTACATTATAAATTCTACTAATTATTCTATATTTGTGAATTATAGTTATTATTACTATTTTTTTTTATATATGTATTATTAAAATGTACTGATTGTATTGTCATATTATACTCAATACTCAATGAATATTTTATAAGCTACAAGACAACACGAGAGAGCACAGTACTGGTTTTGAAAAATAATAATAATAATAAGAAATTATCTAAAATTTAAATATATTGTAAATGATACAATTACTTAGACTTAAAAGTTAAAATGTTGAATAGGTAATAAGAAAACTTAATATACAATAGTTATTAATAATTATGGTTGTTTTAATTTGTAGATAAGTACAATGTTCATGATAAAAAGTATTGAGTTCGAGTTCGAGTTCGACTTAAAATCATAATAGGTTCGGTTCAGTTCGGTTCGGTTAGGTAGAAAATATGAAATACGAATAATACAGAGCTACTTGAGTGGCCGGAAACTAACCTACGGAAACAGAGAAACTCGAGAAATTACCTGCGGAGTTCCACAGGGATCGGTCCTCGGGCCGACTTTGTAGAATCTAATGTACGATGACCTATTAGATACCGAAATTAACAGCAGCATCGATGTTCAAACGACTGCGAGGCTGGTGGCTTTCACAGATAACGTGGCGGTCGTTACGATTGGTAACACTACAGAAAAACTAGAAGAGGTTACAAACGAAGCTTTACACACAGTGGCCAAATGGATGGAGCGAAATGATCTGAAGCTGGCGGCTCACAAAACAGAGGCAGTGGTCCTCACTGAGAAAAGAGGATATGCGGAACCATTATTCATCCTGAACGGAACTAAAATTATATCCAAAGTAAAACTGAGATATCTTGGGGTGGATTTGAGTAAGAAGCTTGGGTTCTAAACCCATCTTAAAACAGTCGCAGAAAAAGTAGGGAGAACAGCAAACGCACTGGCACAGTTTATAGCAAATGTAAGAGGGTCTAAACAACAAACAAGGAAACTACTGGCGACGGTAGTTCTAAACCAATTACTGTATGTAGCCCCTATTTGGGCAGAGTCACTGATTTTCAAAAACAATATCCAATTAATAATAAGACCACAAAGAAATAAAGCATTTAGAACGACAATGGCATACAGGACGTCACCAAAAAATGCCATACTATTGATAGTGGGAATAATCCCAGTTCACCTACTCACGCAGGAGGCGCAAAGAAAATACCGATGAAACCCGAATAACAGATCGTACCAGGAGGAACGCGACCAAACAATGAGAGACTGGCAAAAGGAGTGGAATGCTACGGAGAAAGGACAATGGACGAAGACACTCATAGAAGTCACGCCATGGGTGAAAAGGAAATTTGATAGCATAGACTTCCATCTTACGCAGATGTTGACAGGCCATGGGTGCTTTGGCAATTATCTATTTCAATTTAAGAAAAGACAGACAGCAGAGTGCGTGGACTGCAAGGCGGAAACTGACGACGCAGAATATACGTTGTTCCAATGCAATAGGTAGCGGAGAGCGCGTATGGAGTTGGAGACGGAGCTTGGAGGGTGCATAGAGCCAAACACAATAGTAAATTATACGTTGGAGAACGGAGTAAAATGGAATGTCGTGAGAACCTTTGTTTGAAAAATACTGTCGACCAAGGAAGAAGAGGAAAGAACCACACAACGCAATGAAGATTAAACTACTTAGTTAAGTTCTTTAAAATGTGCACCGAAGGTGAAATTTAGAGGGATAGAGCCCTCTGTTAATTGTATAATAAGCGTTTTATTTACGAAATAATAAACGATACGGATGCGAAGGGAAGGATAACCCAAAGGGCAAAGTTCCCCTTGGCAGCGCCGTGATAACCACAAAAAAAAAAAAGGTAGAAGATATGAAGGTTCGGTTCAGTTCAAGTTCGAAAAAATAATTTAAAGTTCGATTTAAAAAATCAGGGTTCGACCTATCACTAATATATATATAAACGTGTGTATGAGTTTATGTATATATGGTTAAAGCGCATACTAAAATAAGACATAAAGTTTATACACATACTTAATATGCCTTAACATGACTTAATAACAAACTACATAAAACTTTGCTCCAAGCCTGTACGGTGTATTGCTTTGATCTCTGTCGTCTAATGGCGTATACAAATCAATAAAACTTGCTGAATTCCCGCCACACTCGTAATTATTATTTTCTCACACTGTATAGGTTTGTCAGTGGTCACTTTAGAGAAAGCACTCGAAGTAAATAGGATATCCGCAAAAGTGGGCGACAACGTAGAGATCCGTTGTGACGTTAGTGGCAATCCACCGCCTCCGATCGTTTGGAAACGGTATTCCGCCGATCTAACAACTCTAGGAGATGAAGACGTGAGGGTTTTCAGTGATGGGTCGTTATACCTCACTAAAATTCAATTGGTCCACGCCGGTAATTATACATGCAGAGCATTGAGAAACTCGGAAGTTACACAGACACATGTCTTGACCGTTCACAGTAAGTTCTTAAAATATATCATAATTAATGGGTACCATCAGTACTTTAGAATCAAAATGGAAAGTTACATGTAAAGCCAGAATTTATATACATTAAAAAAGTGTTAAATATGATGCAAATATGCAAAGAAAAAGTGGCTAAATATGCAATTATATGCATTTTGTTACACTTTTTATAAAAAACCATACTTTTATACCAAATAAAATTCTAAATATTTTATCAAAAACAAAAAAAAAATGATAATATCCACTGTTTTATATTTCAAATCATTTAAATAAATCTAAAACTTTTAGGAAACTTAAAATCGATAGTATAAATAAAAATTAAAAATTAAAAATAATTTTGATTATTTGAAGTTACCTACTCTCAAAAAACTAATAGAAAACTTAAAAAAAATACAAATCTTTAAAAAAAATTTTTTGAAACTTAATACCTATCGTGTCTATTCAACGTGATTACAAAATTAACTGTAAATTAAAATAGTTAATTTATTAAAAAGCCATTAAATATACATGTTATATGCATTTATGAACAAATATGCAATAACCCTCGAAATATGCAAAATATGCAATATAAAATGTTGTGTTTAAATTCGGTGTGATATGAATCGTGGACATGTTAAACCTCCATAGACGTGCATACATTTAGTACAAACATGCAAATTCATATAAATCCGGGCTCTAGTTATATGTATTCTTAAAATTATAAAAATTAAGTTTTAGCATTTAAAATTTCACCAAATAATATTCGACGTATTTGAAAAAATACTCATTACGTTGTAAAAATTAAACTACTCATAATAAATAAAACCGTGATTTTATTAACTTTTTGTGTAACTAATGATGCATTTTTAGTTTGAGACTGATCATTCATTACACATATAATACTCCAGGCTACGTATTTATTTATTTATTTATTTCTGTATATCAAATATTGATTTATATATTAATTTACGAGTACTAACCATTTACTAATTTTTGTTTTGTGAAAAATTAATAAACTTTTTATTATTCAGTAAATTACTGAAATTTTGATTTTAAGATTATTTTATTGAACCTTGAATTTCAAAATTTGTTATATCTCAAAGGCAAATATGAATTAAACGAATCGTCAATTATAATTTCCATACTATTGTGGTGCATAATGATTCAAAATAAAAATTAGTGTTATAACCACATATTTTAATAAAAACATTTTTAACTTGGAAAATGTATCGCCAGAGATAAAAAAAACCTAAAACTCAACCTTAACTACATATCAATATATATTTGAATAGTTTTTTTATAATTTATTTATTTGTTTCAGCTTTACCTGAGGTTAAAGTCACGCCTAGAATCCAATCGCGAAGACCCGGTGAAAAGACTTCGATGTTTTGTCATGTAATCGGAGAACCTTTCCCTGAGGTAAGTCGTGCGATATATTATACCCCTGAGAGTAGTTTGCATAGGATTTGGCACATTTGATGACCGTCTGTTTGTTTGGACAGGTGGTTTGGTTGAAAAACGAAGATCGTCTGAAATTGGATTTGGTGCTTAAGTATAGAGTGGTCGGTAACGGGACTGAATTGAGTATAGACAACATCGATTACGCAGATACGGGTGCGTACATGTGTCAGGCTTCTAACACGGGCGGAGTCACCAGAGACATATCGTCGCTAATCGTCCAAGAAATTTTAACGCCTAGTAAGTTTTTTTTCTCCGGAAATCAAGCGATTGCAATATAGTATCATCAGTAAGCTACGTCACATTCATCAGAAACATCAATATATATATATATAGACTGCTCTCTTCCCTTTATAAATCCTTATTTCAAACATAATTTAATATACGTATACACGAGTATTTACAGTACATAATATTATTATGTGTGCTTTGTCGTATAGCCGCACCGAAAGAAGAACGCCGATTTTTCGCCTTCCACGATTGGGGCATGTCCGTCTACGAACCCACTGCTTGCCGACTCTATCACCAAATCCAATCAACAGACATCATACCGGGAACCCAAGTACGGCAAGATAAAAATTGCATAGTGTATTATAATAGTGTTCGGTCGCAATTTAATACTGCCCGATGTGTGCATGTATATAGGAATACGTTTGTGGCGATAAAGGAGTCAACTGCAGTTGGGGTCAAGCTATAAATGTAGCCAATCGTTATGTTTACGTTTCGCAGCCGCTTAAAGATAGAGTGTTGGTCATCAGTAAGATCCAGATGGTCGTCGTTGATGTGAGTTTTTCGTCCGTGATCGGATTGACTAATGATTAATTTATATTTTAAGTTTTAGGTTGTACATTTTTATTGAACATGTGATCAATAAACCACTTTTACTTTATAAAAACATATTTAATACTCAAAATTTTCCTGAATTTCGGGGGCGAGGGAGTTAAACCTCTAAAACTCCCTCTTATGTGCGTGCTTGTCCATGTCAGAATGTTTTTGTTTCTTTATTTTTTTCATTATATTTTTTTATTTACAGCACCAATTATGTAGGTTTTTACCATATTTATTTATTACAATAAATTGTTTACAATTGATAGTAGTTGAATAAGTAAACACATTTCTTCTCTTGAGATAGTTATCCCACCTGGAAAACGAAACTGCCCGTTTCAAAGCATAAAAAACTGTTTTAAAATTAAGGAGAAATAGTTGCATTAATTCCTGTACTACGCATCACTCAAATAAATATATTATACTAAACGTTTATGTGATACATTTCTGCACTGCAATAATCACACGTATCTTAATGATGTGTTCGCAGGTCGTCATTACGGACAAATATCCCGTGGCTTTGCACTATGTTGCGCATCTAGACCAAGTGTGGGTATTGAACTGGAGAAGCGTGTATGACGACGGTGTGAAAACAATACAAGTGATCAGAGACGCGTCGCAAAAAAGAAAACACCATACCGTACATCCCGAACCAATAGATGGCCAGTTCGATTTAGTCAAAGATCTGTTCATGCCCACTGCACAAGTATATAATAGTTATTAATCATAACAATAATAAAAATAATTATTATTTATGGACTGGTTTTTAACGATTTTTCGTATCCCACAGGACTTGAGTCATTGGTTTAAATACGGTTACGTGAGCCACGCCAACCAAAGAGGACTTTACAAACTAGATTTAGCAAACATGCGATATATACGAAGTATAGATCTTTCGCCCTACAACTGCGTACCTCGAACACTGCAGTTTTCATCTTTATGTAAGTCTATTCCTTCAACAAAGTTGGAACGCACATTTTTTTTGCTACAGAGGGAAATTTCATTGGGAATAAATCGTTCGGATTATTGTCCATTAAAATTCGTTGTATCTTAATTATAAAATATAATTATTTCTCGATTAAACTATTCTTTCTTTAAAAAAAAAAAAAATATAGTATGCATTCCATTAAAAAAAATAAGAAAATATTAAAAAATAAAAATAAAATAAACAAATGTTAAAAATAATAAATATTTTATTAACTTTGTATACGAGTATAATCGACGATAAATTTTTAATTCATACTTTATACTTATACTTTATACAGTTATACTTTAAAAATATAACAATACTTCAGGCTAAGCATTTATTTATTTCTATATATAAACTACTTATTTATTTATGTTACATTATTAATGAATCATTGCATTACAAAAATATTATGTTCAATTTCTATAATTTTCAGATGGATTTGTCATCATAGAATGCGAGGAACCTGGCACTGGACACGCAACGGGCCAAGTAATTGTAGATTATTTGACCGATACAGTTGTCAACAAAAAGGCGACTGTCAGGGGAAGTCCTTTGGTCTCGCCAGATAGCAGAATCGTTGTATCTATAGACAGAGCTTCCGATGGCGTGACCTTAGTGGTTCAACAGGTTTTAGGTAGGTCCAGAGTTGTTTTAGTTGCGAATAATGAATAACATAAATGTTTTAACGTGTGCTATTTATTTTTGTAGAATCTGGACTTAAGTTTTCTTTCGATGTCAAGACCACGTTAATGATAAGCGACATAGCATTCTATCCATCTCGAACCACACATGGATATGATTTGTATGCCAGTGCCTCTGATAAAGAAGATATACTATTTCTAAATCTATCAAATGGTAAGCGTGATTTATATTTGTCTCTTATCAATTTGCTACATACCGAAAGTTAATTTAAAAATGATTGAAATTGTGTTAACGTTAACGATGGGTCGAACCCTGATTTTTGAAATCGAACTTTAAAATATTTTTTTGAAACCGAACCTAACCGATCTTTTATATTTATTATCGAACTGAACTGAACCAAACCTAGAAGAATTTCAAGTCGAGCTCGATCTCAATTTTTTTTTTATTAATTGAAAAATTAAACAGCTTAACACTGTAGTCATAGTTTCTAAAATGCAGATCAACCGAATATTAAAATAAATGTTTATGACTGCTTAATCAGTATAATATAAAAATTAACAATACATATAAATATAGAATATAAACATGTTTTTATCAGTAAAGCTGCTCCGGAAGAGGAATTAATCTATAAGTTTTCCTAAAATAGATTTTTCCCGTTGCAATAAATATAATAAAAATAGAAGTCATTACTGGTACGCAGGTCCTCAATACCAAATCATTATTAATAACATCAACATTTTTAAAAATAATTTTTGAAGAATTGAAAAAATTGTTATTCAAATTTAATATTTAGTCTTCTAACTATCGTGGCCGGTAAGTTTGCTTTGACAAATGTTTATAAGTTCGACTTTCTAATAGCACCAGATGCTTGATAGTTTGGTTCGATTTTTTTTTAATACAGACTTCGAATTTTGTACCGTTCTACCCATCACTAGTTAGCGTCATATTTTATCCAATTAAAATAAAACGCTATTATGAAAAACAAGAATAATTTAACGATAAATAAAGGCCTTCGCACACGCTAGAGTTTTATTGCCAGAACTAGTGAAATAGCTGCCAATTATAACCAAAGACGTGTAAACAGAGTTACTGCCAGAGTGGAATTTTATGCTCTGGCGAACTCTAGTGTCAGAGTACTTTATCTACCGCGTAAATGCCTCGAAATCTTATCTGGTTTATCAGGTTGCTATCGCTGTCAATCTGGTTGTCGGCTAACCATATTTATAACTTTAGAACATAGTTTCACACATACATGATAACTGATAGTTTGATATTACATAAATAAAACATCTACTACCATAGACATATTACTATATACGTATTGTATTTAATATATTAATATTAATATGTCTATATCTACTAACTAGTTTTCTAGTCAATATTTATTTTCTAAATACTATTGAATAAAAATGGAGTCCGACAAAAAAAAAAAAGAAGATTCGTTTTTTGTAAAAGACAAAAAAGCTTGTAAAGCTCTATTAATTTATGGACCATGATCAAAACATGATATTAATGAATTAATATTACTTTATGAAGATAATCCAATTCTATGGGATGCATCGTTAAAGGGATATCGTGAAACTCTGAATAAATACATGAATGACTGATAACTATCACATGTAATTTGATAAAAATTATTGCTAATAAAAATATATTGCATTTTATATATTTATGAATAAATAATCAGAGTTATATCAATTTTATAATTTAATATAATATAGAAAGTTGTATGAAGAATAATTTTTTAAATAAAAAAAAATTATTATACATTATATACATTATAATTAACTAAAATTTCAATATTTAAATGCTTTAAACTAAATTACTTAACTCTGTTTAGTAAAAAATGTTATTAAACAGATAAATAAAAAGGTATTTAAAACTAAAAATCTTACCAGATGCTAAATAACTCAAGGTTATTTCTAAACGTTCCCCAGCAAAAGTAGCATCTCTCATACATGTATTTTGTTTTGCAATAAATGGACCAATAATACTCAATAAATAATCAAAATCAGATGATGACATACGTAAAAAATTTTTGTACATTGTAGATTCAGCACTTTTTAATTCTAAATTAATTTTTTCATAAAATCCACATTTTGGCCTTTTTAAAAAAAAATTTTTGTTCACTCAGCTCGTTTATTTTTCCTTTTATTTTTTTCTTCCTCTTTTTGTTCTTCATCTAATAATAAATAAACAACAATTGCAGCTGCTATTCTGGTTTGAACAGACTTGGTACCTATTGTTCACGGACTATTTTTATTAAATATATACTTTATATATATTTTTGTAATATATAGAGAACATTTCATAATCATTCAGTGGTCATTATAACTAGTTATCTAGTACAACTCTAGACAGATAAAAAAAAATGTCAGGTATAAACACGTTGCAGAGTTTAGAACAGATTACATTACCAGAGTTCTCTGGCAATGCAATTATCAGAGAAAAAAGTAACATATATTTATGTACGTGTAAAGAACGATTTTTTTAGTTTGAGCTGTTATAACAATTAAAAACGAACTGTAATTAACTTTTTGTTTTATTTTCCCTAACATGTAATGAATAATGAGGATTAAAAAACCTACAATTGCCACATTTGTATTCTTAAAAAAAATTTTATTTAACACATTTTGTACACGTAAAAATTAATATTTAAACAAATCACATTTTTCTTCTAATTTCAATAAAGAACAACAATTACTTAAATAATGTTATAATTTTGTTTGTGCATAATTTGCAGAATTTTATGATTAAATTGAATATGTACTTAACTCATTGTTCAAAAAAATGTCACTTACCACACTTTTGCGCTACCCCATCGATTTATACATTGTATATTATACAATAAAATCTTTAATAAATATGCACAATTAATCACTCAGTAAATTAATTTATAGTGAAAATATTAAAAAGTTGTAAATAAAATTGAAAAAAAAATCTTTATTTTTTATATGCGTGTACGAGTAGCTGAAACAAAAACATAGAAACTGAATTTGTGTAATTCTTTGACCTATATAAAAGTTTCAACTCGTAGTACTAAATATAAGCATAATAAATCGAAACAAAACAGCAATAATTGTAAACGGTGTATATACATACTATTATACATATACATTAATTTGCGTTTAATTCATTTCAATAATTTTATACATTTTATAGAAAAGCGTAATTATATTCAAGTAAAAACGATTCGTTCGTTGATGTATGAATTATATAACGGTCGTAGATCACACCAATCGCGTGGAAATTTAATAGTCCGTATAATACACGTAAAGGCTAATCCATCATTGTTCTCCATTTGTTTACATCATTTTGGGTGTATTGAAAAAATGGGAAAATCTGTATAATGTTAGTAATTAAATAGTATATCTGAGCTCTTATACTTTTTTTAAATTGCTTTAACAAAAAATAAAGAATAAATCGTTAACACTATTATACTTATTCAGAATAATTATTGTTCAGATTTTTATTTTTAATCTACGATAAGTATTCTTTTCGACAGTATTTTTGCACCTATTTTGTTTAATCTATATACAGCTGACCTTCCTCAATTAAATAACATATACTTGGTCACTTTTGCAGACAATATTTGTCGTGGGCGGGAATGTCATGGCACGAAGCAAAATAACACAAACAATAAATTAGTAATAATAAAAAAAACAATCAACAGTGCTGAAGGTACACTCGGTGTTGAATAAATATTTATTGACATTATGTATGTATTCGGAGTCGAATGGTAATATTTATTCGTAGAATAAAAATAATAAAATAACAAAGTGAAAATATAATGATATGTAAAAATTAAAATGTCACACTAAGAAAGTAATAATGGTGTATCGACTGTAGTGTTCCCGTGTACGGTTTGGAGAGAACAGATCGGAACGGACAAGTTCGATAGTGTTGCCTTGCGGACGTTGTCGCGACAGATGTTTCGATAGTGCCTAAACCTCCATCTTCACAAACAAAGGCTACTACTTTGTTCGAAAACCTCAATTTAAAACAAAATTTTAATTTATAAACAACTGATACGCCTTGCATTGATGAATGGCATTCGATTATGGGGTTTTACAAAAAACTTTAACCTAAAAATCTTTCAATCATTTCAATAAACAAACCTTCGTCTCCTCACTATACCCCAGTGCATGTCAGTAATAGATTCCTGCATCGTGATTTCAACGTTCCAACGATAACATTGGCATCGTATAATTATAATAAATTCCACAAAAACTTCTTAAATCAATCTAATCCTCTCACATAGCCTAACCTAACCTTGCATACGAATATATCGAACTATTCAATAACCTTTCCCGTCGCCTCAAAATAAAATGGCCTCATGGTCTTATCATTAATACAAACTATATTGAGATCATATTGGAGGTAGTCAATATCCCTTCCCTCAAGCCGGGCAGCCTAGTTAAATAAATAAATGTTAAATTACTGTATTTTATATATACATCTTGTAACTTTTTTTCTACTTTTAATAAAAAAAAACCTACGGAATCGGATTTGTATTTTTAAGCGTATAACCTCATATAACTGCCACCGTAAACAACCGTAAACATCTAAAGTTTCCTTCGTTAAGAGTGTTCAAGTGAAATTATACCGATCCCATCAGACGATTTACGATTAATTAAATGGTTTATTCGATATGTGTGGCATTATTTATAAATAGGGCTCGGAAATTGATGACCTTAAAATCATTAAGAAATGACTTAAAAAAATTAAAAATATTTATTTTAAATTAATAAAAATACATTTTTTTAAATATTTTACTCTAACATTCTGTATAAATTTATTAAAGCTTACAAATTACTCAAAAATCCAAATAATTGCATTCTACAATTAGAGCGTATTTGATGTTATCAAAAGTAAATGAACGACGATTATCTGTTTATAAATATTTATACTTGGAAAAACTTCTCTCTGCGTCCACTGAAGTGATTGGGAGGCACAGGCGAGAACTAACTGACGTTTTAATTTTCATTTCGAAAATATTACGAACAAAATAATAAAATTTAGATAAAATAGGTTTTATTCACTATAACATGACAACGAGGTGACGACTGTAATCGACAAGATAAAATCTGATACTAATCGAATATTAGGAAAAAATAATAAAATGTAGGTTTAATAATATTCACTAGTTATGGAAAGTATAGTTCATTTCTGTGAATAGTTCATTAGTTCACAGTTCATTTAAGTGAACAGTTCAAATGAACTATTCTTAAATTCACGTAGTTCACTAAATTTACTGATATTGTTTGGCAATGAACTATTCGTTTTATTACTATTAGTACAGCAGTACACAGTTCAGTAGTATTTCACACTACTTATGGGCAATTAAGTATTTGTTATCTAATTGTAAATAGCTGTTTACTATTTACAGGATTTTGAACAACGATGAATTATAATTATATTCAAATATTCTATAACATCTAAAATTAGAGTTTATAAAAACCGTTCTCGAAATATTTAAATTTTCAGAGTCTGGGATAGCGTAATAGGGTATTATGATTTTTGATATTTTGGCATTGAAAAATAATCAGGTAATAGTTTTTTTTTAAGATTTATTTTTGACACATTGATTATGTAACACTGTATAAATTATTTAATATATAAAATTAAATTATAAGAATTTTTTATAGAAAGATATTTTATAAATAAATATTCGTTAAGTTAGTTAATATTATATATATATATAAGTAGTATAATCATACTTACGAATTGTTGTAAATTGCGTATTACTACAGATTTACTATTATTATAACTTGTATATCATTTATTAAAGATAATAAACTGGGAAATCGTAAATCTAAATTCAAATAAACTTCATTGAGTGATATAGGGAAATACTTAACTTTTAAAATAAAATATAATTTAGGTAACTCTTTAATTATATGGTTGATTTATCCTACTAAATACCTAATTTGAGAGTGAATATTCAGCATAGGAAAGTACTTTGTACTTTGTGCTTTGACACCAATTTCATCGAAGGCCAAACGATTTAACTTAAGTTTAATTTTTCAATGTATTCTATGCTGACATTATGGCCATGTTTTCACGTCTATGTGTCCTCTAGTAAAATGTTTATGTTCTCGAATTTCCATCTATCTCTATTTTCTGCTAAATCTCACCAATGAATATTCATTTCCACTTCTTCGGTATCTTTTTTACGCTATCTTCCCATCTTAACCGTGATCTTCTAAGATATCACCTCCCTACTGGATTTTCTTCTATTAATTTTTTTAACAGTGACTCATATTTCCTCCATAAATGTCCTGCCCAAACTAGTCTCCTTTCATTCATATTCACTTTTGATAAAATTTGTCCCAAATTATATTTTTTGGTTTCAAATCAAACTTCTTTAGCGTTTTCAATAAAATGTTAACTAATTTTTACTATCCCATTGAAATTTAGTTACATTCTCTGAGTATACTATTATTTATCAAAAAAATTGTTCTTTTTATTTTAAAGTTTAAATTATAATGATATATTTTGTATATAAATTTGTTCACGAAATAATAAATAAAAAATAGTATTTCCTAGATCTACTTACAATGAATAACAACAATATACCTTCAGTTCCGCAAACTACGTCAGTCTAGCATTTTGAAAATAAAAACAATGTTTTAAGGGTTAAATTATTGGTTACGTAATGTTAAATTCCGAGTGCTGGGCTACTAGAACTCGTTCAACAACGCATATATTCATGTGTGCATTATGTATATTAATTATACTTAATATATTTTTTTTTTTGCACTACTCAGGCAAAGTAGAAATGATAACCGGCGTGGGAAAAGCCATGATGCAGTCGCTGACACAATGGGGCAACCCAAACCGTCCGATAGCCGCGTCTGGTATCTTCGGTCATTACATGGTCACACCAGCAAACGAGGCGCTGTTCGTTATCAATGGCGAGACGCGAACTGTGAATTGCGAGATCGGTGGTCTCGTACATCCCAGATTAGTCACGTGGGTCACAATGCAGCTCCAGTGAACATATTATTATTATTTTTAATATGTTATTGTTTACGGATGGAAAACCGTAGGACTATCAAAATATGGTAAAAATAATAATAATTAAAATAATAAAAAAGTTAAAAATCGCGTTGTTATATTTTTTTCCGAATACCTACATAATATTAATATTATATTGTTAATGCCGTTGTAATAATATCTTTATTACATATTTTTATTATTATATCAAATCTCTCATTTTCTCTTCTCGCTAATGATGATTATAAATGTATACCTTCTTTTTTTGTTTTTCGTTTGTATTATTCATATGAACTACATTATTTATTTATTTTTCATAAACACTCTTATATATTACAATAATATATACAATAATTTATTTATAAACATTTAGTATAATTAGGCGTTAAGAATCATAATTTATGTTATGCTGTGCAATATTCAACGGAGCAGTGATGGTTGTATGTCTTTTGAACACTTTTCACGTTACACTTAAATATCGCGTGTATTATTAACTTTGCCTCCATTTTTTCTTTTTTATCTTCGTCTAGTAAAAGAGTCAACGTGCTCTCTCCTCAAAACTCACATGTCCTTGATATAACAAAAGCTTCAATTTAATAGTTGACGGGAAACTAACATGCCATATTATGCTTGTAAATTATTTCGATTATGATCCAAATCGTCATTATTATTATTATTTATTGTATTAATATACATATATAACAATATTACATTGTTGTCTTTGTCGTCGCTATTATTATTGTTGGTTAACTTAACTTGAAGTACGACGCGCGTGTTTTAAATAATGTTACTCTTCGCGCGAATACAACTATTTGTTATTATACACTTATTTGTTATTAACTATTTATTTATTATACTCTCAATCCCCTGCGAATAATAATACTAATAGTTAGTACATATATATTATATATAGGACTATTCAAATTTAACATTACATTTTTTTAAAACGCTTCACCCCGTAAAACGTTGAGCGTAAACGGTGTAGCAATTTACAGATGGTATCGTGAATACGATAGCTCGTGTTGGGAAACTGTCAAATCTTCTTGATACATCTTGTTGGCTGCAATCAATTTCCATTTCACTCTTTCACGCCAATACAATTGTATAGGTCCATATATTTAAATATAAATGCAAACTATTGAAAAGTGACACTTCCATTTGACGGCCATTTATGTGTAGGGGTGAATTTATAGAGGGGACATAGTGATCGTTCCCTTGGACTTTTTTTATCACAGATTTATTTAATATTTTTGATATAGGTATACTATCACACAGATATACATAATACATATTAATAAATATTTATTATCGAAGATTATATATATCTTTGTATAGGTACAAAAATTTTAGAACGTTTCAAGATAATAAATATTGATTTAATAAATCTTACAATGTAATAATATTCCTAATTGCCCTCCACCTCCTAAAAAAAAGCTTCAGATTCATCCCTGAATGTGTGTGTGTGTGTGTGTGTGTGTGTGTGTGTGTGTGTGTGTGTGT